GAAGAGAAATAAATCAGACAGCAGAGACTTGGGAAAAAAGCTTGGAATCAAAATCTTGGATGGGAATGCCCCACACACAGGCATTGGCTCTGTATCTGAACTCTCCATCTTGTGCCCAACTTGAATCATTACCAGTTTCTTTTAAAACTGTGCCTGAAAGAACTGATGTGTTATGAGACAGCCATGACCTAAATAAACTCCAAACAAATCATTCATCACTGCAAAACTCCAGAACAAGCTGGTACTTTCTCAGAGCACAGTGTTCTTCTAAACACACATTATACATAAAGAGGAAACAGAAAGCACATACTGTAGGCTTTCATCAATTGTACACAAACAAAGCCTTTGATAACTCTCTGAATAGGCTAGAGATCATTACGCCTGGGGCCAAGAGGCTCTCTGTAGTTTAAGATCTCATTTTCCAAACTTTTGGTCAAAAGGGTCTTTCTAAGTGCAGTGGAGAAAGGAACACTTTTTCCTTGAATATTGTTATGTTCACAATACCCCATCTCAAATCCTTACATGCACTATCCTTTTTTCCTTACCAAATTCAAACTTCACAACCTCAAGGTCTGGAGCAGGAGGTGCTCACCCACATCAACAGCCACGTTTTCTGTTACCCATCCTTCTTTTTCATGGCCCACATTGTTCCTGGAACAGCTGGCCTTTTCCAGTTCTCTGGTTCTTTCTTACCTTCCTGTCACTCAAATCTACCAAACACACTGTGCTCATTTCTTTTTTTTTGTTTGCCTTTTGAAATAGTCTACTTAATTTGAATACATGCAAAGATTCTGATACAGATCCAAGAAGATAACTAGAGGACCCATCTACCGAATAAGTGTTCTACAGCTCACACCACAATGCAGTTAGTGCTGTGCTTTTGGTTTAGAGGCACACCAGCATGTGAGAACCGTGAAGTTAATTTAGGTTAAAAAAGGATGCCCATTCTAAAGAGGAACAACTACTTCTAAATAATGGAGCACTTTTACTCCAGAAAAAGTGTTTTAGTGTAACCAGCTTAATCTAGTCACTGCTTTCAACTCCTTTCCCTTTGAAAGAAAATGCTAAACCCGTCTGAACTACTAAGACTCAAACTTATCTTATTCTTTGGTGGTTTTGTTTCAGCTACTTTAGCAGCTTTACAGTAATAAAAATGTTATGCATTCAATTTAATGTCTCATTCTCTATAAAAAATTACAAGTAGTAATCATTTCATCAAGGTATTTGGACTTTTGGCTCCTACATTAGTACCCCAAGCCCAAAGGTTTCTCTTTCTTTATAAGCATTACGTAAAAACTAGTAAGCAACAGAAATGTACTTAACACTGTGGTATCCTGTAATTCACACTGGCAGCTGCACAAATAATTACAGCCCTTCTCAGGTAAAACCTCACCAATTTAAACGAGTTTTCACCGATCATGGAAGGATAGAAAACCCTTTAAGCAATAGGGAGATCAACAGAAGCCTTTAGAAGTGTTAAAACAGTTTGATCCCAAGGCTATACAAATGCTACCTGCTGATGACTGAACGAGTATGATTTTCAGACTCCTAATCAAATTCTACTTAATTGTGGATGTTATTTTCCTACATGCATTCAACAGATAGGGGTCACTTCTACCCTGACCAGGTAACCATTTCAGCATTCCCATGTGCGTAAAAGGTTTTTAACGGGCCATGCTTTTTGTTTAAGATTAATCAATTCCCTTTCCCTGCCTCTGATTCCCTGTTTTTTAAGAGGACCACTTACCAGGAAAATTTCATTCACACCCTTACAGAAAACAGCATCAGCTGTTCATTTGTGATCCAGGCCTAGGGGACATCACAGGCTTTCAGAACCAGATGTTTATTTCTGTCTAGTCAAGGGGTGGCTAAATATGGAAACACATTAAACAGGGCTGGTGGGAACTGATGAGGTCATCTACACCATCTCCTAATCTACAGGTGGGACCAGTTTTGCCTAAACGATTCTTAGCAGCTATTTCTCTGACTTATTCTTAGGAGACTCTATTTATGAGTTCCCATAATTCCTCTATAAAATTATTAGAATGTTTCTTTTACATCTAACATGCATCTCATGTTAAAGATAGTATTACTTCTATTTTTCAGTCTTTAAACACATGATACTAAATCTGGCAGTGTATGAATTCACATTTGTTTGACTTCTGATATCAATTACTCTTTCTGCAAAAGTAGTTGAATAGTGGCACATCATTTAAGACTTATCCTACACTACTGCAGCAGCTGAGCCCTCTAATAACACAACACACTTTTTTTTTTTTAATGTTGTTTTTTATCCTACCTGAACTGAAACAAAAGTTGTAATTTATTCCCCATAACAAGGTTCTAATTTTAGGCAGTCTGAAGGGGAAGATCCTAGGAAGGGAGTAACATCTTAGAAATTACAACAGTAGGAATACCTTTGGGTGCCTAAAATTGCCATGAGTCAATTCTGAGACACTGAATATCTCTTCCAAACTAATGCTTTCTCTTTTGGGTGATACTTCAAGGAAAAAAACATGGGTCAGTTTTCAAAGTACCAAGCCATTTCTGTCAAGTTATCTAGACTGTCTAACAAAAGCTAATTTACAGTGGGAGGTGTCTACAACAGGCACCATTAAGTCTAGAGCCATGAGTCTGACTTCTCCCTGGACAACAATTTAACAAGATTATGATATAGAAGGGCACTGTACCTCTGTGTGAAGTGCAAGGCTTTATATTCCAAGAAATTATTTTCTATTCCTCTTAGCTAATGCACAGTGAGGTTTTTCTAATCACTTAAGGGAAGGCAAAAAAATGTAATTAATATATAGGCATTTGCAAGTAAGTAGTTAATGCCTCTTTTTAATTCACCCTCAAATCAAGAAGGGTTCTAATTAAAATGACATAACAGATTTATCTTCCTGGTGCTCTTCTCCAGCAGTTTTGTAACTGTAACCGCATAAGAAAAAATACATTTATACGAGAAAGAGAGAGAGAGAGAGAGAGAGAGAGAGAGAGAGATATAAAACATTCTGAAAATGTGTAGCTAGTAAGATTGGTTTCTGAACAGAAAAGCAGAAAAAGCAAAGCTTGCATCTTCCTACTACTTCAAATTACAAATAAATTACTTTTCAAAGTTTTTCTTCTTACTTGACTAATTCCCAGTCTGATATATATACTCCATGACCAAACACTAAAATCCTTTCAATGTTTTTAAAGATAAAAGCTATCATTATTATTCCTTGACTGGACAATAAAATGTGACAAGAGTAAAGTGAGAATTTTAACATTTGAAGGTAGAATCTTAAAGAGAATATAAAACCTACTATCAACACAGTCCATCACAGGCTAACATTGCTATGTTTGTTTGGGGTTTTTTTCAGTTTGGGCTTTTTGATTTGTTTGTTTGTGGGTTTGGGGCTTGTTTTTTGTTTTGGTTGGTTGGTATTTTGGGGGGGGGGAGGACAGGGGAGGAGGTGTGGGGGGTATCTTTTCTATTTCAAGGTTATTGAAAGGAGAGAGAAACAGTAGGGAACAGTCCTTAATCTAACTGGAGTCAAACTACAAGATCAGCCTGGAAAGTTCTGAATATTAGATTCTCCTTAGTGAATATTTTTAAGACAAGATGAACCATCTAGGAACCATGAACATTATTAAAAAGTAAACAAAATATACATTTTCACAGAAGATGAATCTAAAAGATTGTGAATACAATAAAACTTAACTGATTTTCCTAATACAAATAATAATTATTCTATTTTCTTAATGTGTGCTCTTTGTTTAGGTTTTTTTCCTTAGATCAGATTTTTTTTTTTCCTTAGATCAAACTATGATCACATACTGACCTGCCCAAATGTGATTCAGGTTCACTAGAGCATAAATCCACAAAACTATAAAGCCACATATTTTCCAGATAAAATAACTGTAGTTCACTTCTGGTTTTCCCAAGTCTTCTTTGGTGCATGACAGTATCTTAATGCTTATGAATAACATCACTTTTTTCTGGCTGTAATATCAGTTACTCATACTGATAAAAGTTAAATATTCATTTAGAGATCTATCTTGCAATCTGTTCATAATTTAGTAGAAAGACCAACTTCCGAAGATATTTATGTGCCTAAGGAAGCCAACAGGGATGGCTGGGAGAACTCAGAGAATAGGCTCATGTTGCAGTCTGCAAGTGCTTGGGCACTCTGAAAATCCCACCACCCGCAGCTAATTACATTAGAAAGCCTATGTCCTGTCACAAAAGGCCCTTCTCTGCCAGCTAGTGTGGATGGGTTCAGCAGGTACTTATGGGTGTGGTGTACCAGAAAACAGCAGGCCAAAGAGAAGGAAAAGAACACAATGAGAAGTACATGAAAATCTCCCCAGAACTGCTAAGCTCTAGAGACCGGTGGACCTGCTGAATCCATGAGAACTGATAAAAATCAAAATAACAAGAATTAGTTGAATCTGCAGAAGGCCATCAGCACACACTAGCGTCAATAAATGTATGCAACTTAGAACATATCAATGAAGGCAGTGCCTGCTATATGCAGACAAAGACTATAGGATCATAGGCACACATCATGGACCAAAAGACCTTCTTGGGTAGTTCCTGAACACCAGGCCAGAAGTCATTGTTGCACTAGTGCCACTTTCGACTTGTGAGTAAACCAGTGTGGTTGGCTCCCAGCTGTTGCTCCAACCAAGTATTAAGGGCAAGAGTGAGTGAACAAATGTGAGAGGGAATAATTGCATATACTGTACGAATAATTATCTGCTATTAAAAATAGTTTGGTTCTGTTATTAATAACAGCTTCATTAATAAAAGGTGTTCTAATTAATACTGGTTGTGATCTGTGTCTCCCCTAACTCAATCCCCTATCAGCAAAACAGAAATTTACAGCATTCTTTGTTCTCGTGCTCACTGTATGAATGTCTCTACTTCTACCCAACAGGAGCAAGCCCTGCTAGCATGCCCATGCAAGCTTCGGTGGGAAGAAAACAAACAAGTTTTGTTATTTCAAAACACTTACTTGGTAGGGATACAGAGTGACGCCATTCGTTCTTGACAAAGACCAAGTGCCATCAAGGTACTGATGAGCCTGGATAGCCACAGAGTTGAGAACATTACCATTGCTGGGGCTGGTGGCCATTTGAAAGCTGACCTTGGCTTGGTGTCCAGGTGAGCCATTTTTCTTCTCCACCCCATTGACAATTCCTAAACTGTTGGGTTTTCCACTGTGTTTGTTGGCAACAAAGCCTGTATAATTAGATGTAGCATAAGGAGCAGGCATGTATGCCCAGTCCCTGGGCTGCAGGCTGCCCATGTGCCGAGGACTCACTAATGTGGGGATATTGGAGAGAGGTGGGGGAGAGCCTGGCGAGGCATCGTAATGTTCTGAGTTGGCAGCTTGCTCTAAGGTCAGCACCATCTGAATGGCCTCTTGCTTCAGCTGGTTCAGGTGTGTGGCACAAACATCACATCTGTTGTCCTTTTCGTTCCATGCCTTACGAATGGTATTGGGAACTTGGAGCTTGTCATGAATCACCGAAGAAAAACCTGGGTCCTAAAAAAACAAAACAGAGAAGGGAGAGGGGGGGACAGGAGAGAAATGTTTAACCATGGTCACCACAGTGAAACATTACTGCTGATTGTGCATTTCAAAAGCCAATTTATGAGATAAGCTTAGAATGCAAACAAGGGCCATTAGATACAGTCAACATATGCCAGCAGCAGAGCTGAACAAAAATGAGAAACTAGATTGTGCTGGAAAGAAAAAATTATTTTACTTTTACTGATAAGTGGCAAACATAATTCCACTGCAAGCTTTAATGCGTGGCAGAAAGAATGAATTAACCTGCTTCACACCATTGCATCTAATTTCTGGCTTGAATGAAAACTACTCTTAGTTACACAGGTGAGATCAAGAGCAACTCCACTAAAGCCAGTAGGCTTGTATCAAGGTTCACGAATCCATCTAACCGATGTCAGATTTTGGTACTCAGAAAATCCAGGATATACTCTGCAACAAAAACTAAAGTCTGCCTGTAAACGAAAAAAAAAAAAAAGAGCTACCACCATTCTCTTAAAATCCTTTTCAGAATTCAAACGAGATGAATATTTGATAAAGTTTTCCAAGAGCTTTTCAGCATTTCATTTACCAAGAATACACTTTTCAGCCACAAAATTAAACAACAACCTTTCTGTTAATGAAATGTTCTACCACTATTTTGGGTATCTGCTGATAAAAAATAAAACAATAATTTTACTGAACATGTATAGGATCAATAAATTTGTAAAGAATAATTTTCTTCTTGGAAAGTATATTTTTGGTGCAAAACCATGTGATCAGGTTTAAAATATCTTGCCTCATATCCTTACCTCATGGTAGATCTTTGAATGTCAGTGGTGCTCTCCTCAGAGCAATATGCCACCCTGATCTGACTACAGTCACTGACTGCTGGCCTAAATTGCAAAGTGTTCCAGCAAGTTGTGGAGCCAAACAGCAGTCTTAGCAGGCTTATCACCAAACTTGCTCAGTTCTTACAGCATCATGCAGTTTTAGAGATGCATAGCAATGATGTGTTTGTTACGCAAACAATGACAGTTATGTGCTGGAAATATTTCTTGGAAACTTCACACCATATCTTTGTGGTTTTACAGACCAGGCAGGGCAGACTTCACCTTCCCCTCCCTAAGTTTTGGAGGCTTATTGGTGAATTTTCTTATCGCTACTCAAAAAGATTTACAATCAGTAGTATCAATCTTTTGGGTTTTTTTTCTCTCTCTGTGCCTTTGTGGCTTTATCAGCTTTAGCAGCAAACTGAAATCAGACTGGAAGAGTGCAGGGGAGGGGCAAGGATCACAGAAATAGACACCACCCTTATTCAGTAATTTTATGAACCCCATGCCATCCAAGACAGACAAATTTTGTGTCTTGATAGTTTGGCTGTGCTGGGAAAGAATGGGTAGGGGGTATAATATAGGGAGGGAGAGAATTCATTGGTAGAGGGTCATATTCATTATGATCCGTCTTTATTATATACTCAAGTATTTTATTTTCACTGTTTAACTACCGTGAACAGCCCCTCAGCATGCAGTGATTAATTGATTCATAAATCATGATGCCTCCTTATGCACAGCAGCAAAGGAGCAGTTCTAGCCCCAGAAGCCCAGGAGAGTCATATAAGCTGATGGGAAACAACAGGAAGCTGAGATCTGATCAAGCCTCAAGCTGGTCATTTCTATTCTATGCACAAAGAGGGTCAGAGCATCAAAGTGTGTCAGGAAGTCAGGGACTGGATTATGCATCAATCCTCCCCCCTTCACCTTCAGAAAAGGGACTCGCGGAAATCAGGGGAAAGAAATAGGATGCAAAAGATGTCAAATCTTATTTTCCATTCCAGACCATAACTAGGTCAACAGATCACATCAGATATAGGCACCCAGTCCATGATGACAGGCATACAGGGAAAGGACTCCTTACTTTTCCCAAAATGAGCCAAAGCTATCTATATAGCTGAAGTGAGGTATGAGCTTTCTTTCCAGGTTGCTCCACAACAGTCCATGAAAAATCCTTGCCAGCTCTTCCTTCAGCTAGCTAGTGCCACAGAGTTAGCTGTTGTTCTTTGAAACGTCCCTTAGGCAATTGGGCTTGAACCCAGGTAATTATATACAACAATCAGATCCAGCAGCAGTTCAACATGGAAATTCCTGGATACTATGACAAATATTCCAAGGAAATAAAGCCTTCTCTAAAGTAAGCAAATGTCAGCATGATATAAATATTCAAGTAGCACATGAACTTTAAAGAGTGCTGGACAGCAGTGAATTCAGCTTCATCTCAGTGTTAAAACAAACATCAGATCATTCTCTGATACAACAATAAACAGAGAAGGGGAGGGAGGGAGGGTAACTGTTTCCTCCTCAGGAGCAGAAAGGAGGAAACAGGCACAACCTGAATTGATTACTCCCAAGATTGGCCCCACTAATCTAACAGACTACTAGATGGATATCTCAACACTCGATCCAAGTCTGGAACATGAAACAGAAAAGCCTACAGGACAGCAACTAAATTTAGAGAAACTCAAGTTCCAGAAACACATTAGTCACGTTTTGTTCTCAAAACAAAGCTGATAGAACCTAAAAGAGAGTTTACTTTCTTATTCTGCAGTGGGCAGCTCCACTATAATTTCACAGAAGAATTGGCTGACAAGCTTGCAATACATTTAGCATGAGAGGCCAAAGCTAGACAGTCACTACACCCTTGCCTGAACAGCAGGGCATGGCATTTTCTGTTTCAGTATTTTACCTGCAAGCAATCATCTGCACACGTTCGCGTAGGAATGCTTATTAGTTTAATGAACAGCACCTTGTGCGATATGAAATAGTGATGGGCAAGACTCACCGGATAAGCACTTTGAGCTAGCTACACTAAGCAGGGGTTGGAAAGGTTATACTTACTACTGAAACTTGTGAGGTCTAAGAAACTCCACCCTCCCTGGCATGAGAGCAGATTTGCTTGTGAAATCTGAGGTTGACACTGAAAATACTATTTATATTTTGGCACTCATTTCCAGTCCTGACAGAACAAAGTACAGTGACACTGAAAACTGAAACAGAATTTTAAAAATCACAAAAGAGTTTGGTTTGAGTTGAGGGCAAAGGTTCATGCTGGTTTCTCTTATTGCTGTAATGGCTCACCCATCTTTAGTATAAACAGCATTACTATAAACTCCTATTCCTATAATAAACAAACAAAGGCATGTAAGAGGTCTGACAGCTTCAGAAGATCAGTCACAACACAGACCATAGCATAAATGCACAAGGCAAGCAGTGAACTAAACAGAGTGCACACTGATCTTTGTTACAAGAAGCCTTTTCACATTACCTTTGAGTTTTCAAGCTCAAGTAAACACCAGTTCCAATTATGTTTAGTTGTTCATCTTCTCTACTGTAGCCAGGTAGTAAGTAATCCCTCACCTTTGGTCCTGAACTAAAAACCCACACAGGAAAGACAGAAGAGGGAAGAAGTTTTGCTTTTTAGAGACTTATCATATATAGGTATGTTGAGGAATTCTGGCTTTACCCAGCGGAAAATGTACCCAGCAAACAGGCAGCACTTAAGACACACTGAAGTACTCAGCTGTAAATGCAGTCCTGACCTCATGGAGGAGGAGGAATGGCACTACTATATGATCATGTAAGGCAATGCAGAAGCATCCTCCTCTGTCATCTCCCTTCATAAAGCTGTACTTTGCCGTATAGTTTTCATGACATTTTAACTACATAACTGAGAAAACAGACTATAAAGAGAATAATCCTTTCCTTCCTGCTATCCAGCTTGGTGCCTATCTTCCTCAGAGAAAGCAAATCGCCACTTTCAGCAAGAAGCACAGCGTTTCACACATACACTTAAACAACACTCACAAGGAGACATGATGAAAGCAGGCAGAGCTCAACTGGTGGACAGAGAAGCAGGCAAGAAATAGGATGAGCAATCTGAACTTTTACATGCTACATGGAATCTAGCTGATCACAGATTTGTATACAAATAACTCATACGCATACTACTTTTTTGAAAACATATAGCAGGCAGACATTAATATCGGCCATACTCTCTAAGACCTTGTGCACAACTGTATTTGATTTAGTCAACTACAGCCTAAGCAAGTTAGACATTATAAACCTACGTCATTATTCCATCTCAGAGACAACTCAACTATACAATGGATATCAAGACCTTCTTATCAAATTGTGGTTTTCAATACCAATATTATTAATTGCTCTTCAGGGAAAAACTAAGTAGTCAATACTAACTAATTCACAGAGGTCAGCTTCCACTTGACGATGGTCACAAAAGATGCATGGTGTTCTTTTGTTTCCAAAAGGGTCCATGCAGCAATGACTGCTGGTATGTAATCCATCAGCCAAGGTAGAGGGGAGAAGTAGGGGAAAGCAATGATCAAAGTTCTGCCCAAGGAGAAGTGTGTTTTCCAGACTCTCACTCTCCACAGGCAGGGAGTAAAAGAACTAATTAAGAAACATTAGTAGGAGGGAAGCCTTAACGGTGATAAAAAACACATGTTTTTCCACGACTGTGCAAACATCTCTGTTCTAAACACAACCCGTTGTTGGTCTCTATTTGAGAAAAAAAAAAAAAAATCTCCTCCGTTCTCCCTTCTCTCTTGAGAGTGTACTTTCCCGACCAATAAAGAGATTATACTTGTAAATTTACTTTCCAGAGGCACTTGGGCAATTTTCCAAGTGACTCTACACCCTAACTTAAACATCTCCTATCATCTTCTAGTTACATTTCAGAGATTTGCTGTTTTCAGCCTTCCAGAGCCCTAACAGTTGAAAAAGAGCTACTCACTGTTACAACGGCATAAATTCTGCTAAAGCAAAAGCATGTTCAAATAAACTAAAGTCGAAGGGAGTTTTTCCTCAAATAAGCATGACAGGATACACACTATTATTATAAATTAGTAGCACTGTACCATCAAACTGAGCTGGGAACCCTCTGATAAAAATCAGTTAGCTTTGCTAAGTAAAGGCTGAATCATC